GCAATAAATTATTGTAATTAGAAAAAGATCATCTGTTTAAAACAAAAAAATCATGTATTTCAAAGGAAATTTTCATGAACTATAAATATGTGTGGTATGATTTGATAATTGTCAAGTATTTTACCCAAAGTTTTTCCTTCAAAAAAAGTATTTGACCCAAAGAAGTAATAACTGTAAAAAAGTTGAACAAAAAATGAAAAGACTTGAAGAGAAAAGGAGAAATGAAGGAACACTGGCCTAAAATAAAATAGGAAAAACCCCAGGAGAACCAGTGATGGGCAGGCCTAGTACGCGAGTCCCTTGTGCGTATCCTGACAATTCAGCACAATAAGCGTCGTACATGATTTTCCCTCTAGAAGGGTCCAGTGACACCTAGTTTTCTGGCGCATGTTAAGAGCAATTTATAGTGAACATTCCTCGCATGTATTTAGAAAATTCTGATAATGTTTTCTTTCTTAAATTTGTACTTTTTGTCAAACTATCAAGAACACTTCCATTGTAATAGTTTGACAGAATTACTCTTCTTTTTTATCACAAATTTTGTTGAACATGCTCCAATATCACTTCTTTGTCATTGATATGTGGAGCACAATTACTACCTCCTACAAGATGTGCTTTTCAAAGTACTACAGCTTTGTGCAACCACATTCTTACAATTTAAATATTTTGTTGCAAAAATATAAGACACCCACGATTTTTGAGGTTTAGTTTTGAGTAACAACTAGATCAACAAGATATGAGTAACGCAACATAAAATTGATATCATGAAAAAATAATTTTAAATATGAATATGATGACATGATTCCCGTGTCGCATGGCCTAAATTTTACTTGTATGATCTTTTATCGATTCTAAGTCATAAGATACATGAAAACCATGCATTTCACGAAGTGGAGCAAAATATGATAGTTTACAAGAAAAAATAAATGAGTTCTCAGGAATCACACAATTGGAATTGATCTTGCTTTTAGTGTCAATAGCTTGTATAATCTACTGGAAAGCCGCAATAGCTAGTGTATGTGTGCAATTGAGGTGGTGATAGACACGACAGATTAATAC